CAGATCGAAACAGACAGGGGTTGGAGATCGAACCCAGGAGGTTCTGCGCACCGTAAGCTCTCGCTGAACGCTCCGATCTGAGACGCGTTAGCCCACTCGGTTAAATGTCTATATACATTCTATTGAAAATTTTTGATACGAAGTGACTGGATAGGAAGTTAAAAGAGTCGTTAAAATGAAACTTGGGGATGCTGGTAATTTTTACCGTGCATTATTTTCGTTGTCTGTGAAATCTTCTGACAGCCCTGGCATAACTCAATGACACATTTCTTAGTCGCTGCGGTTACAGTAACCGCAAACTAAGAGCCGTTCTTCTCCAAATTAGAGTTTTTGTTTGTTGTGACACTTGTACATATAATGCACAGATGCTTCGAAGGGCGTCTAATGAAGTAACTAATGGATTAAAGGAACACTTACAGGTCATTTATGCTAGCCAAGGTTTTTGTTTGTAAGTACATTTGAGAGCCAAACTACCGAGAACACAATTCACGGCTCGAAATTCATTTTCTTTCCACTCGAAAACCGCCGATCGAGAACTGGCCGGTTTGAGTCGCGCTCACTCTCTTCTCCATGGTCACGTGTGGTTTTCCATGGTTTAGGTGTAGACAACCACTACATATAACCAAAGTCGTGGGTCATTGAAGGCACACACACTATATTAAAAGCAGAAAAAAAATTATACCCATTTTTTCTGGCTTCTAAAAGACTGCAAACACGATTATTGAAAAAAAAAAAAAAAATGTCGAGAGACCCGGAAGCACTGGTAGCGCTTAGTGAATTCTCTGCGTAATTCTCAACATAGCGTCGTATCGGAATTCTCTGCGTAATTTTCAACATAGCGTCGTATCACGGGAGTACAACGAGCGTGGGACCTATACTTCAGAACTGTTGTTCGCGGTCGCGGCGAATCTGTCTAGCTTCAAAAGAGAAAGCGTTTACCTATCAAAACAATTCGGGTTTATTCCGTACGACATTCCCCATCACCTAGCTGATTCGCACGAAGACGTCGCCGAGTCGTCGCGCCTTCTCCTTGCTGAAGACATCGCTCGCCTTAAGGAGTATTCACACGAGGGAGAAATCCCGAGGATTTCTCCCCGGCACGCGCATCCCACGACGAAAACGCCAGGCTTTGCGATGTGCAAAAGCCTCGCGTTTTCATCTCGTGATGCGGGCGTGCCGGGGGAGAAATCCCCGGAATTTCTCCCTCGTGTGAATACCGCTTTTCGAACACGAATTGGTTAAGAGGTTGCAAAAACGCTCAAACGTTGAGCACCAACTGCCTTAATTTGGCGGTTTTCGTGCGACATACAACGTGGGCGTTTTTCGTCTGCTTCGCACGGTCGAAAAAACGAAGAAAACAAAACAACAACAAATATAAAGAAAACGCTCTCGGGCCCCCACTTTCTCCTCCTCTACATTTCTCCTTTTCGCCAGTCCAGTTCCGGTTTCGGTTTAGCGCCGTTGCGTTTTCTGACTTCAATAAAAAAAAGAAAAAGAGTGACGTTGTAAGAAAATTTTGAGTGAGTAGCCTACTCAGGACATAATAAATTGAGTGGCAAAAAAAAAGTTTTTTTAAAATGTGTCAATGATTTTTTTTTTTTTTTTAAGGAACCCATGACATAATTTACTATGCTCACGCTGAGACTCTTTTCAAAAGTTCACCGGGTAACATTTCCGGTATCGCCATTTCTCTGGCACGAAGCGTGTGATTGAATCTGAGTCCTCTTTGAACCGCTGACGTCAGCACTCGTATCCAATACGAGCCGAGCCGAGGTCAACGTGTACGCTGACGCGGCCTTCGTGTCCAACACCTGGCGACAATGCGTGCCCAATCAATGCCCGACTCGGACACTTGAGTCAGCAGATGATAGATAGCGCGCGCAATTTCGAAAAGGGTCTATTAGTTTTATTCGTTGTCCTTGTCAGGAAAATGACGCAACCTCCTTGGCTGTGGAGCCGAACTCGCCACGTCTTAGGTTTCTTAAGTTGCCAGTAGGCATTGCATTCTTTATTGAAAGTACAAAGTAGAATAACGAAGTTAGATTAGCACTGCATGCACCGCGTTGATTTGCATAAAATGTTTCGACTAAATAATAAAAAACAAACGAACGTCTAGGATATTATTTTTTTAAATATATATTTTGCCCGATATGAGCAAAGAGTGTCACTATAGATCCTTGGTCATTGGAGCATAACGGCTGAATTATATTTCCCGACAGATACCCGAGCAATGGATAAAATCGATACAAACCCCACGCAAGGGTGAGGCTTTGTGGCGTAGTTGAGTTCTCCGAGCATAGATGGTAGCACCTGCCGAGAGCACGGTTACTATGGCAACACGCTCACCGGTCGAGCTGTATACAAAGAACTCACTGCGCCCATTTCTAAACATGTTGCCGCTGCCACACCGGTAACTGGCTTTATTCGACCGTTGATTAGAACTGCGCGCCATTTGGTGAGTGACTTGGCTCTACCTTCTTTATTAAAGTACATAATTCATATGTTGTTTGTGGGTGAGGGCTGATGGGCTTCAATGTCCAAGTGCGATGTCTAAGTTCGAGAAGCTTGCCAAACAGTGCTGTTTTTTTTTTTGCTTTTTTTTTAAAGCGCGCATTTTTTTTTTATGGTTGGAATGAGCATTAGGGAGTTTCAGTGAGTCGTTTTGAAAGAAATACGGTTTACCCTCGAACACTTCGTGAACACCATTGCGCACGCGTGCGCGAATCATTGAGGACTTTTTGATGCGTTTAACTTTTGTTTCTGCCACTCCGGCCGCTGGAGTCGTCACCGTAATGTAGTCAGCATCATCGATGACTCGTGAAAAATACAATATGGCGGTCGTTTTTAGCGACTGACTCGGTCGGCTCAGTCGAGCGTTAGGCTTAGGACAGCGGGAGGCGACTTGCTATCCCGCAGCTCTCTGCTTCATTTGAGAGGTCGAAGCACACATTTTTGAGGACTGCTTTCAATGCCGAGCGATCTTGAATGCTGTAAACTACACGTGTGACTAAATTTTCGTGATCCGTGCTAACTACCCGTTGTGGCAGCTACGAACACATGAAATGATTTCGTTTGAGGTCAGGAAGATAGAGTCGCATCACTGAGCGCCGTGCAGAGAGATTTTATTCTTTCTAGTTTTAGGTCTCATAAAATTATGACAGGCAGATATTACCGCGGCCGTCTTGATTTCATCACTGATATGCCGTGAAACGCAAGCCACGGATTTGCCCGCTGCTGAACGCTTCCAATGTTTATTATTAGATGGCGCTGCCGGTCAAACGCAAACCAGAACCGTATATGTAGAGAGTTTGGCCATTTGTTGGGAAGTATAGGAGAAAAAATGGGGAGGCGCCATTGGCCGAAAGCGGGCTGGGCGTGTTCCAGGGCGTCTTCAGAAATTCGAATGTAGCCAACCAGAAGCCGGAAATAATACCCTGGCGGCGGACACGAGAAACAAACCTGATAAGTGCGTCGGAGTGTCTCTCGGTGACTGAAAACATGGTGCACGTGATGTTTCAGTCACGGTCATCCAAAATCCTGGTGGAAGAGCGCGACTAGCGGAACGATCGAAATAATCCGTACGCCTAGCGCCGAGGGCTGGGAATCTGCCTTCCGAGCGGTCACACTCTGTGCAAGCAAAACAGAGTTGAGTGGCGCATTCGTTTCTTACATTTTACTTCATGATTATGATTGAAACGTCACGTTAACCCTCTTTTCAACCATAAAGGGTTACTATACATTTAAATCTTACGCGCTTGTTAAAACGACCAAATTTGTTTTTCGCTACCACCGCTAGGGGATTCTTTTCGGCTTCTAGCTGACCAAGAGAGCATGCCAAGCCCACGTTCTGCGTGTGGTGAACGCCCTAGCTCTGCCCGCCCCTCGCGCTGACCAAGCGCTCTGACGCAAACATCACAATAGTTTCCATGATTCCGCCAGTATTACAGCTAGGGGCGTTGCTGTGGACAAATACATGGGATTGAATTTTGATCCGAAAGAACGATTGTATAAGTATTGGACATGGAATTTAAACCTCTAAAAATAATATATGCAGGAATCCCCTATCTCACACTTACCACGACAGAAGAGTTTACTGAGAATCGACTTTTTTTTACATATTTGCGACCGGAACTTCCATTCCTCGAGGCTGCTCGAGATGCCTGCAGCAGGCGACGTATGGAATCCGATTGACGGAAGTATGGTGTCTGTAACAATTTGAATAGACTGAAGGATCATATTATTTTGATAATTTATCGTCAACACGAAAACTCGTCAGGTGGAATAAAAATTGTACGGCAATTTTCTGGGCAATCGTGTCGCAAACGTGAACAAATCTAGAATCACGTGGCATCAGGTCACATGATGTCAATATTCCCGCTAAATTTAGTCAAGAAACTGAATTGGTATGGATATCTGTGACCTTCCATAATGTCACAGGCCACGGCTTTACGAAAGGCGGCATCACGAAATCCGAGGCGACTAGCCAAAGAACGTTTCACGCTAAAACGAAAATATATTCTCACAGGACAATGTCTGATGAAAAATGGGGAGACCCACAGAAGTTCGTCTGCTAAAAATATCGTACTCCGTGAACGAAAAAAAAAACGCGTTGGCTACAGTAGCAGATATCTTGATCCGTAGTCAGATTGGTTATACACCATACAAAACACAATGTGTTCGCTGAATAAATGACGACCGAATTATCTATACGAAAACGCCTCAGGCAAGGTCGAAGCGTGTGTTTATACATGTGCCTCAAACAAGAATGCAGACAGGTTTTCAATGACCAGTGTGACAAGACCGACATCCTAACACGACTTCGACAGCGTGCGCACACTCTATTTTATATGATGTATTAGCTGCCTAACCTCGGATTCAGTGGTATGAACATTTTTCTTTTATCTCGAAGACTGACGAGGTTCGCTAGATATTGGTTGAATTAACTTAGGTCTAAAGAGTTCGGTGCTTATAGTCCCCTTTTTTATTTGCCTTCTCAGGGTATGGGCGGTTGCTTCGTACCTGGCTGCAACCATCGAAGTGAGAGAGATTCCTGCAAGTTCTTCAGTTTTCCGCAAGACCCCAAAGACCGAAAGAACTGGGTAAAAAACATCAGGTAAAAAGAATATTAACATTCACAGTAGTTATGTGGCGTGTGATTCAGTCAGATTCAAGTTTAGGGTCTGAGATCATGCGTCACACAAGCCCTTGAACAGCTCGTTTGGCCTGACCCAATGATGATAGTAATAAGCCACTTAAAACCATGCTCAACATAATCACGTGCAAATATACACCCACACACACACGCTGAAATTACAAACAGATGATGCAGACTTGGTCAAGTAAGCGGAAAGTTTTTTTTTAATTCCCAGACGATGGAGCTGAGACCCGATAACGAAATCCCCCCTCTCCCCTTCCACCCCCCCCCCCCCCCCTCGTCACACTTCTGGCTGAGTTGAAGATTTTCGGAATAAAGCCACACGCCCATCGTGGGAAACCAAACGCTCATGTACACATGTTCACCCAAGTTCAGGAATAAAAAAATTCACACAAACGCACACCGTGGGCACTTCGGACTCTGGAGCGAACTGACCAGGTCAAGTTTTCGTCCTTACCGGATGGAAGTGCATAGTCGCACACACCTAAGCAGTAATTTCTTTTTAAAGAAAAAGCCTCAAAATGCAAATGTACGTAGACTTGTCTCAATCAATTTTCAAAAGAAAAGCCTAATACGCATCAGTTCGTAATTAAATTCAAATATTTTACTGCAAATGGTTTTCAATGATCGCTCAGAACATACCAAGAAGGATAAGACAACAATTAGAAAATACAATGACCGGGGTTAATGACAAAAGAATATATACAACGTGTTTTAAGGCTTTAGATTTGTTTTTAAATTCTGTGAAAGCTAGAAATATCATACGTCCAGGGAGATATACTATAGGGGATAATCGCCGCAATAAGTCTGTTAATTAACTAAAACTTATCAGATACCTTTTTATTGATTGAGGACACATATATGGTATAATCGCAAATCTTATAAGTGTCTTTGAACACAACCTAAATAAGAACATTTGGGATGACTTGAAGCACGCGAGGAGCGCAATGCTGCGCTAAAGTTATCACTCGTGTGACAGGAGTGAGAATACAGTGGTTCTTAAAGACGCCCTCGCAATACCCCCCCCCCCCCCCCCCTTTTCCCTTTCACCATCATTCGCGTTTTGGCACTGCCAGCCTTGTGACCTTCGCACGAGTTGAAAATTTAGCTCACCCTCGTGCTTCCCACGCGCCCCAAATATTTCTAAAATTTACTTCTTCAGTATCTTTCGATGGATTTCGGCAAGTTTCTTGTTGAAACCTCTTTTGTAATTTCACTTAGTAAAAGTTTCGTAATAAACTTTCCCAAATTATTGTGACAATATTGGCCCTCCATATTATGCCCTGGCTTAAACCTCCACTGCACAAACCGCATTAATGTAGTTCTCACCACTTTTTAAAAACAAATTTAACCTAAACATTCTCTGTGTACGTAGGGTGGGGACGCCATATTGTACGTTTTTCGCCGCGCAATTTACAAAATTAGTTCTTATTTATGATCTTCCAAGAACAAGAGTTCTGATTGTGTGGAATGGACGTTGAACGTTCATCCTCGTGTATTCCTCGCAGGCCATGAAGCAAAGCAGTAGGTATCCTTGCGATGCGTTTCGAATAATGTTCAGCAAACAGGCATCCCATGATTTTTGTAAACACCCTATAGTGTGTCTGAAATGCCGAGGCTTGATCTAAATTGGGCCGTAAGAGTCGGTGCCTTTACGTAGCAATCTAAACTTTGCGTCAAATGTGTATTTCACACGTTGGTTTTAGCTTGTAAAATTGCGAGCCAAAGCTCCCCTCTCGTAAAAAATAGGACCAGAATCCTTTCCAGGGACGATGGCGGACGGCGATGCAGACCACCGAGTCGAGGGGCTGGAGCGTTTGGGGCACGTATTGATAGAGGGCGCTACCACCTTGTTCCGGCTTGTTTAAAAAAATCGAGACTGTCCGCGATGATTTTGGTCTATTAAAATCGGTATAATCTTTCTGTAATTCACCTTTGATTTGAAAATTAATGCGGACACATAGTAAAACTTGAAGTAACAGAAATAAAAGAAGACGCGGTTGAATAACGACGGCGCACTTGCTGCCGACGGATTTCATCCGCGTGTCGTCTGCTTTCTTTCACTGGTCGGCTAGGCCTTCCGACGCTGCTCCCGACACCGTCTATTATCCCGTGTGCCAAACGCAACCTATCACTCGACTCCGCCGTCTACGTCACAGTCCGCCGTCGGCCCTGGCAAGATGTTTGGCCTTATTTGTTTTATAGACAGGGGGCTACGCCTGCTAACTTTACAAAGTAAAACCCACATGTAAAATACGCCCTCGACAAAAGGTTCAGATTGCTGCGTGCAGGCTGTGATTTTTATAACTCATTTTAGATGGAGCCTTGGCATATCAGACACCCCATATATTTTAATTTTTCAAGGGAATTACTGACTGACCGTTCGCTTGATCACACAATTGACGCAGTTGGTAGCATGCAAAACGTATTTTTTGCCGTCGGTCTTCGGTTGTTGCAATCACAACAAGTTGTAGTTGTAGTATCAGCGTCAGCTACGGGTAGTCGCTATAGTAGAGAGTATAGCGGCACTAATCCAGAACCGGTTGTAGAACTGAACTTTAATTATTATTATTATTATTTTATTTCCAGGAGAGCAGACAGAGAGCCAGGAACATACTCTCGTATATGCAGTTGCCATTTCAAGGACGGAAAGAAGAGCAATGTGCCTACGATTTTCCCTTGGAATGAGAAAAAACGTTTCCAGTTTCCAGACATAAAAAGCGGGAGGAGGTGAGAGCAATGTATAGTCGTGATGAATTATCATGCAATACATATAAACTGTAAGCTTGATAACTGGTTATGTTCTTCACATACTGAATTATACCGCATCAAATGAAATCGAATATTTTAATTGGTATCTGAGTATTCAAACGTTGGAGCAACGTACAAAAAAAGAAACAATATTTGTTGACTCGAAAAGAATCGAGCCCCGAGTTCTTGTCAGTTCGTGAGAGAGAGGAAAAAATAAATCGGTGCAACATATATACCACAAATATTTAAGATAAACGATTTAGATTAAGGAATCCATACAATACAAAAAGCAGGCACAGTGATTTACGATCTAAATTGTAAATGTCAAGTTATATATGAAATATTTGTTATGTAATATGTGGGTAGATCACAATGAAAGAATCGCAAGCTATAATTTGAACAATAATGAGAAACCTTCAATTCCTCTGAGCAACCGATGCGACTATAGGTTATATTTCGGGTGAAATTTAGTATCTGTCTCAAAAAGGTAATCGCTTCCGGGGATAAAAGAAAAAAGAAAAAAAAAGACAGGCAGGATCTTGTCAATTTTTGTTGAATTTTTTTGTTGAAAATAATGATTTTGTATGAAATAAGTATAACCAACGTTTCAGATAAAGTGCAAAAGTGATCTTTGTCCATATTGTCTATGAGCTTCGTGCGTGGCATTTTGACACTTTATAATTTGCAGGAAAAAAAGAACAGAACGACCGCAAACACCACAGCAGGATAAGCCAACCACATCAAGAGCTGCTCCAGAAGCACAAAATGAGTTTCTTTTAGAAGGTACGTACCCTCCAAACGTTTCCTTCCACTGAGAAAATATATGCCTAAATGCATATTCAACATCCCAAAAAAAACTCGTCGGGGACACACAGCACATTAAGCTATAATTGTTTTACATCGAAAGTGCATTTTTATATAAAACCATTTCACTGAGATTACCCCCCCCCCCCCCGCACACACACAAATAAAATAAAATAAGATCGCTTGAATTGGTGTATGTTTTCACGATCTGAAGTTAAGTTGCTGTTAAATCCAGATATTAAAAAGACTTACAAAAAATGCTTACAAAAATTATTACTTTTTATGGATCAAATTCCGACCTTGCGTTTATTTCATAACTACGGCCCTATCAATGGGTTGGCTTGGAGCATGACGTCATGATGTGACTTCATCGATTACAGAGTCAATTAGATAAAACAAGTTAAGATTCACAAATGGTTTTAAGGAATGGAGCAGCTGCACCGTTCATGCTTTTCGAACCGTGTGCTCCAAAAACGACTCACTAAAACTCCTTTTCGGAGTGGCGCAGACTTCAGGTAGGGTGTTGGCTAAGGAAAGGCAGGCGATATTACTTTCAACCTTTGCAAACAAATGTTGCTTCCTGCGTCAATATTAATTCAGTGCTTAATATAGTAGAATGAAATATAAGAAAAAAGTTTCTTGCCGCGATTGGTTTATCCTCTGGAGGTGATTTCGTGGTGGTGTCCACGCCGCTTTCTATTTAAAGTCCACTTTTAGCGCTGTTTTTGACCTTTGATTTACGGTTCTTTTTAATGCGTAGCGGGTTCAGGTGTGCCACATCTAATTTACCTTATTTCTTTAGTGGAAATGAAGCATTGATACCTAAATAAATAAACAAGCCCCGTAAAGGGTAACAATATTAATTTGTTACGGATCCTTAAGGTTTGCGGAGTTGGTTTAAAGGTTTAGGCCATTGCTCAAAAACGCAAAGTACATTTCGAGGATATAACGAAAGCTAAATAAGGCGAGATGAAAGTGTAACGAAGTTTTCAGCTGTAACTTAGAAGCTCTCATATCTTCCGAAATCTTCCTCAGTCCTTCACAAATACTCATGCGATACTCCGTATCACCCTACGATGGACTAGGGCCCGATGGCTGGCGGGCGGTGCACTGCCTCAGAAAAGTTTGCCTCCGCATTGCGAAACAATGAATGCCCGAGAAAATTTCCGACACGCAGAGTACGAAGAGCAGTAATCTAACGCATAGTGTTCCCTGTTATGATAGCTCGTGATTTTATATTGGTGAAGTAAAGGTGCATGGTATTTTGTTCTATAAACATTCTTGCCATATTCCGTAAACACGTCAACTGTTTGGACAAGTTGAATGGCGCGCAGGCAACACTGACATAAAGTCGTTTCGCCGTAGCCATAACAATCCTATCCAACTTTTGTGTACGTAAAACGTTATACCCGGACCCGCATTTCCCTTCCCCACGCTGTTCGTACATGCGCTCCCGTGTCGAACACTTTATTCGACTTCAGTTCTTAATAACCGCTGGTTCTGAACCCGGGTCCTCTTCGCCCCATCGCTTCCAGACGGTATTTAATCTCTTCAGTATTCTTTAGTAGTAGCAGGCAGACGGAACCGCCGCGAAGGTTCGATAAACAGGCTAAAAAGTCGCCTCCGCATGATGCGCCTTGGCGCGCTGATACCTACGACTATAAGATGAACAAATAATTTTGCTCATTAACCCCTCTGTAATAAGTACCATTCCTCTTTTTCACTGACGTTAATTTCATCCCTGTAGCTCCATTTAATGACTCCTTCGAGTGACTTGTGATATATTCCGTTAATATTTGAACCGTCAAATCAAATCCGTTCTCGCGTAGATTGCATACTATATATTATCGGTTGCGTTTAGAGTTACATATGAGGATCTTTCAAGTAACCTACATGCAGATAAATACTTATTGTTCCTAATTCTGGTGTTCTTTGTTCGTGTTTATACTTCTATGCTATATTCTGTGTCTTCCGAAGCACCTGACGAGACTGTACTTGTGGAGCCCGTGCTATGGACGGTAACGCTGTGTTCATGGTGAAGGTCGGTGGACAGATTGAGTCGGCCAAGGTAAGCCTGGTGTTCTGCTGGCACTACACTATACTGTTGTACAGTCTATCCGTGTGGTCCCCTCATTCACCGAAGCGATAATCACCTGCGGTGGTTGCGCGCCTACAGTTCGATACATCTAGACGAATTTTGGTTTGAATGCGAAAGCCTAAAAAAAAAACGCGAAAGAAACGCCCATTCTCCCATTGGCTGAGCAAAACGGCACTTAGATAGCCATTGGCGGCCGCTTCGCTAGAGCGCGCACTCGGCCGCCGCTCTCGTGTCAGGCGTTGCGGGGAAGGAGGGGAGAGGGGGGGGGGGGTTCTAGTCACCAGGCTTGATCTAAAATGGACCGTAAAAATCGACGCCTGCACGTAACAATCTAAACTTTTCGTCAAAGGTGGAATGAACAAGTCGGGTTTTTCTTGTAAAATTACAAAGCGTAGCTCTTTTTTTTCTGTAAAAAATAAGGTCCAGGAGCTTCCGAGGGTCTACGGCGGGCAGCAACGCAGACGACAGGGTTCCAGCAGTGGGGTGTGATTGGAGTTCGTATTGACAGATGGCGCTTCCTCCTTATCGCGACGGCTCGCGACTACCGTGGTTTATTAAAATGAATATAATCTTTTTGAAATGTACCTTCGGTTAAAAAATAAATGCGAACAATAAAAGCAAAATTTAAAGTAAAAAAAAAAACGCGTTTGCATAACGGCGGCGCTTTTGCTGCCAACGGATTTTGTCTGCGAGTCGTCTGCTATCTTTCGCTGGTCGGCCGCACCTTCAGACGCTGCTCCCGGAGCCATCTATCAGTACTAAAGCCAAACAGACCCCGCTACTGGACTTGGTCGTCTGGGTCGCTACCCGCCGCAGATCCTGGCAAGTTTCTTGGCCCTATTTTTTTACTAAGAGATATCTACACTTTGTAATTTTACAAAAAAAAAAAAAAAAGAAAACCTGTGACATACATCTTTGACGAAAAGTTTAGATTGCTTTGACGAAAAGTTTAGAAAAGAGATATCTACACTTTGTAATTTTACAAAAAAAAAAGAAAACCTGTGACATACATCTTTGACGAAAAGTTTAGATTGCTACGTGCAGGCGTTGATTTTTACGGTCCATTTTAGATCGAGCCTGGTGACTTGAACCACCCTATATATCGTCGGCGGCCGCAACCTCGGCAGTAAAGAAATGTCGCCGTCCACGCCAGTACACTACAGACGAGCTAAGGGAGCGGAAGAACGACATTCATGCTTTCGCATTCACAACTCATAAGAAGTGCTTAGGTGTCCCCGGAAATTTTTTTATGTTCGTATTTATTCCTGCTGACACCAAAAGTCGACTAAAACAAAATAATTGCAAGTCATAAACAGTAGTCGAAAGTACCGACATTGAAAGCACACGAATTGGAAAGGACCAGCCCTTGCGGATATACGTTTGTAATAATCACAATCTCTGAGTCGTTAAATGGCTTAGTATAGAACCACGAGTGACTATGCGTCTAACTTTGTTCCGTCTGCCTAAATTTTGCTTACGAATATTTGTGAACTCTCTTAGTATAATTCCAAAATCTCTTAGACTTTTTGTTTCACTTCCCCTCTTGTGTAATTACTTTCATAGGGGTAATATTGCAGGCATTGGACTTGAACTTGAATTTGAAAATACATCGTTTTAGAATAAAATAGTAATCAATAAAGCTTGGAGGATGCATATATAACCCCGACAGCTATCCATCGTACTTCGGTGTTATTATTGACGAGTATCACAGTCTCGTTCCTTGAGGGGAAAAAAGAAGGAAGCTGAGAATTCGCCACGCCCGGCGTTTTTTAAGTTTACAAAACGTAGTGAAGAGACCATGTCTTAAGTTTCCAAGCACTGGACAGTTGTACCCAAGTTTGCTGTGTTAACGGGAAAGCTCCATCAAATTAGGAGCTTAAGTTAACCTTCACACATTCGTCGTTGGTGCGTGCGAACTCTGCTTTCTTCCAAGTTTGTCGAGTGATCTGTGATATCACTTAACCGCCGGCACCCTCGCACCACCAATCGGGGGTAACCGTGGGGGCCTTTTGACCTGCCTGTATATTTTTATATCTTTTGTTTTCTGCGTATAATTCTATTTTCATGCGATCTAAATAAGTCTGACACCCACTATACGAGATTATTTCTTCTAAATATTGTGTAGATTTGGTTTGACCAATACTCGAAACCTTCAGTCTACAGTTATATGTAGGTTGGAATCGTTCCAAGTCTACACGACAGATGGCGCCAGTGTGCCTGCGGTTACAATAGCGTGCCTAGATTATCTAGAGTGAAGTATTTCCAGCTGCTCGATCGGGGTCGGCTGTTTTATGGGCCGCTTTCGCAGCTCGAGCTGCAATAGGATGCCACAACAGAGTCGATCGTCTGCAAAGTGCCTCAGACTCCCCGTCCCCTTCATTTCTCGCAACGCGGGAACAGAACGCATGCGCACTTGTCATCAATCGGCGCTAGAGACGTCCACCGTTAATTTCCAAAACGCACCCTATGGTTTCAAATTCAAATTCTAATTCTTTATCTTTTTTTCTATTGGGGAAGGGGTTCTCCCGTGTATAGTACGGGAATGCGTAGACGCTCCAAGTTTCTTAGAGTAAACATACACCGTTTTAAGTATTCGTACTTGGTCTTACCTTGGTGCAGTAACATCGCTTATTACCAAACGCACAAGAAGTTTGTATAAAAAAAAAGATTATTGGATTAATGGAGACGTATTTATTGCTTAAACAATGCCATTTATGAAACATACGAGTACGTTCGTGACCCTAAAACTGACGGTACGGTTGACTGATATTGCTCTTATTTTTTATTTCTTGGTTTGAAAGTTCACCGGAATCGACGATATTTACTGCAAATATTCTTTTGTGCATGGAACCGACTGGACCGTCGCTGGGGTGAGAAAGCGTTTCGCAGAAAATAATGACCGTCATTATTAATTATCGTGACCTGCGATTTTTAATTTTTTAACACTTGTTATGCGCTGTCGTAATGTTTTGTTAGTTGACCTTATTTATTTTTTTTTTTGCTTGATAGTGTTGAGTATTGAGAACATATTAATCTGGGTGGGGTAAGGCAATATGCCACAAGTGCAGCGAGATGCTTTTGTGTAACTGCTGATCTGTTAGCCAGACACCATAATTCGAGATTAGCCACGTATACCCGTCTTGGGTTCGACAATTTAAAATTATAAACTTAATAACGAATTTTGCAACGTGACCTAATATCTAGCCTATCGTTTAAGAATAAAATAAGAGTATTTTTATTCTAATATATATTTTTAAATATATTTTATTTAAAAATTGTGTTGTACATTTATTTGCTCAAGTTACCCGTTACATATACATGTTTTTTTATTTAATTTTAAGTAAACGGGTTTGATTAAGAGCCGGCTTGACTGTGAATGGAGTATATATTATTTCAGAATTTACGTCGATAACTAAGGCCATGAATTGCCTGTGCAAAATTGCAAAGTACTTTTGAAAGTTTTTTTTTTTTTCAAAATTGCTGGTCCAAAACATTTTGCATAAGTATTGCTAAAAAAAAAAAAAACGATGTGGTAGGTATTAGGCAAAAAGGCATAAAGACTGTACATTGTCTCGGATTTTCTCGTACATCTGTCTAATACTGATGAAAACATAAATAAGCTTCGCATTCATTGAGAAAAAAAATTACGACTTCAATTGCGGAGCTTTAACCCTGTTGAGCCGCGAACCATTGGACAAGCTTTGTTTTAAGAAATTTCAAAACGTAGTTTAGTGTTACTAAATCACCGATAACTAACCGTTCTCTTTTCAGAAAGGTATTTGCATAAAAAAGCGCATTTGTTTAACGCAATTAGAGCTTTCAAAAGGAAACGTACTGATTGAACCCGAAAATTCGTGAGTATTTAAAGCCACCTAAAATTTTGAAACGCCCATATTCATTTTTATGTCTTAAGAAGTATTCGACGGCTCATGAGGAATACATAATTTTACTATTCTTTTAATCATAATTCTTGTGTGGCTACCTTGCTAGTATTAACAAGAAGAATGAACAACTTCCTAAATTGTCTCTCTCGCAAGTATAAACTTGGTGATATTTGTGCATTAATGAGTTAATATCTGTGTTGTTTGACTGCAGGGCATTGAGGAAGGAATTTCTCAAATGTGCAAAAAAAGCAAGGACCCTCGCGGGATTTTCGTTTGGAATTTTCCACTCGATATCACCTTCAAGAGCAGCAATCCATACGGGTGTAAGTGGTTGTGAATCTTCCGGCAATCAGTGTGTTACATAGAAGGTAATGCTAAAACTTACTTGCAACCTTAAGTTGGCGATATCTGTAGTAAGCGTTACATTATGTTATTCTAAAAAAATGATATATTGAATAATTTGAGATGAACGTGTTATCATTAAAAGAAAACAAGAAAGCAATTGCACACATAGAAATAGCAGACATGACAACACGACCTTTGATCTGTTATACTGTCTGCTGGGTGACTGGGTCTATTTTATGATCACAGTGCAACATGATCATTATAAAATATGTTTTGGTTCGCAATTATAAATATCACAAGCACTGGGAAGCTAAAACAAGGAAATTAGTCTTTGGTCGTTAACACGAATAAATTTAAACCTGCAACAATTAAGTAAGCCTTAAATTAATGACATGCGTAGGCTAAGGCGCAGCATACTTTTAAATATTAGATCCTTTTTGAATAGATAAAACGCTCAGAAGATTAGTGAAGGGGTGTAGCGACGACAACAGGCACGTAGCCGGGGGGGGGGGGGGCATGGGGCCCGCCCCCCCGCCCCCTCCCCCCGAAATGTTTCATTTTACTGGGACCTCCTCTCCCCCTCCCCCTCATACAGCATTTCGTCATGGGCGACCCCCCTCCCCTGCACCCCCCCCCCCCCACCCCCCCGAAACAAATCCTGGCTACGTGCCTGGATGACAATATACTTTTTTGTTTTTACACTTGGAGCAGGCAGGTTTTACCTCTAAATCAACCATATGGCTATGTTCAGAAGGTATTGCTTTTGTTTGCAAAAGTAAGGCATTGTATTGACAATTCTTTCATGAAATCGAAATCTGACGTTTTGGCTCTAGGGCCACAACTGGCAGTCTCTGTGCACGGACAGGACTACTTCGGGAACGATGTCATCCGAGGCTACGGTGCAGCTCATGTGCCTCCCATATCTGGAATGTAAGACGATAACATTTTTACATACATCTTTTATTGAGATGAGGTACTCTCCTTCATATGAGAAAGATAGTTCCCAGCTTTTTATACAGCTCCACTGAACAACGCCGTCGACGATGATCCGCCCATTAATGATCTCATAATGTGGGTTCAAAAATACACCTGTACTTGTGTGCATTGTGGCTTACTGGAACCTTCTGAATTTGCGGGAAAGAACTAACTTTAATGCCGCGCACACTGAGGTTTTATTTTAGTGTTTGGAATTGGGTCGTATATTTATTTGAACCGATATGTGAGTACTATGAAAGATGCCATCAGCGCAGTCTTCTTTCTTAACTTTGCGTAAGTTTAACAATAAATACGAGTACAGAAGTCATCAAAGTTGTAAGTAAAAAGGGAGCATATCTAGTAAACTGTTTTCAGACTAATATTTGCCAAAGGAGACGTCTTTAACTACATACTATAGACGTCGCAGAGTAATATACAAGGCTTGAAGCTCTTCCATGTGTTAGGTATATTAGACTCTTATTTGGTTGGCATTCACCTATAAGAAAGCACAGAGCATACTATAGGCATACGTGCTTTAGACATGACAGAGTTACATCTAAGGTATGACGCGCTTCCATGTGTTAAATATTTTAGGCTCTCACTTGATTGACACTCGCATGTAAAAGAAACCAGAGTAGTTTAAGTATCGTGTAATCAATTCAAATATTTATAGCATATAAAAGAAATGCTATGCTTACTTTAGTTGTTGCCCATAACCTCAAAAAAAAGATACTCCCAGTGCAATGTTATTGTTAACAAGACTGGTATCGTATTGTGTGCATTAGTTCACTTGGGAAACTATATATACGAATACTCCACTGGAAATTTTGATTCTAGGTCAAAGATAACTAAAGAAAGTTACAGCTGTGGCAAACCCCATGCAAATTCTTATTATCGCAATGCTGCAAATGAGATTGCAGTATAAGTAAAAAATAAAGTTAAAAAAGTAGTCACGGCACATAAAACATGAATGTTTTAATTCATGCCATGCGTTTTACAGCAATGCTGTTATGGGCTCTTCCCAACACTAGAAATGACGTCCGTCGATGATGTTGTGGTTGTAATGATAATGCATTTAATGCAAAGGTGCAAGCGAACTGGACAGGAATACTTTAAACATACAGCTACACTTGAGATGGAGAGAACCCTGGTTCAATGCTAGGACCAGGCGGAATTTTTTCAGCGCTCACCAGTCACCTAGCTGTGTTGGAAGATTTGTGTTTGTCCTTTGTCCCCCTTGTTCCCCTTCTCTAGGGATTATTATCGTTATTCGTGTCCAGGTCGCTTGAACCGTTGCATTGATTATATTCAGATCATAACCCTAAAATGCAGGCCGTTCACCCTTTTTGTGCTTGACTGGTGGCAGCCGATAAAACTTGTTTGCTCTACTAACGTCTTACTCCCGGTTAGCCCAGTTTGTAGGGCACTCCACTGAAAATAGGAAGGTCACTGGTTCGATACCAGGACCAGGTAGATTTTGTTTCGATTTGGCACCTGTCACCTAGCCGTGCTTGGAGGTTTCTATTTCTCCTTTGCCCTCTCCGCTCCCCCCCTCTTCTCCAAAGATTACTATCGTCGTTGCAATTGTAGTCTTGGTTGATGCTATATATCCCTCGTCGATGTTGCCAAATCCTTGAAAAAAAATTGCGGTGGCTTAGCTCGGCTATGCCAGGATATGCGTAGCGTGAGCTTATGCGCACAAAATGAGAGGCGCTATCAAGCGACTCCGGTGCAGCTTCAGACTTGGCTACTGCGTAACGGAGGCGCACAGCTAGGCACGCGGCGGCGCCAGTGCGTCTGCCGCGGCTATGACGTCACTCCTCTGGAATGCGCAGACCGGCGAGGTGGGCGAGGCGGGCCCGGCGGCGGCGAAGCGCGCGGCGGCAGCTTCGCGTGGCTCTCATAATGAGCCTTGCTCATTATGCGAGCCGTGCTCATTATGCGGAGCGCGCGGCGCTGTGCGACGTGCTCATTATGCGAGCGGTGCTCATTATGCGGAGCGCGCGGCGGCGTGCGACGTGCTCATTATGCGGAGCTCCGCCGCCGCCGCCGCGCGCTCCGCATAACGAGCACGGCTCGCATAATGAGCACGGCACATTATGAGGGCCACGCGAAAGTGCTCAACCTCGGCCCTTGTCGCTGACCCTACAAAAATCGCCCGCCGCCCGCGGAAATGGAAAATCGAGCATCGGTCCGCTGCGTGCGAAGGGGAAGCGTTACGGCACAGCTACGCCGCAGTGTTAGAACCCCTTTCACACCTAATGGATTTGTAGTACCCGATGCCCACTGCACGTGCCCTTGTCAATGCAAAAAGCTCGTGCCGGGAAACGCGCTTTCACGCGGTCCGGAAAAAAAAAAAGAGAAGAAAAGAAATAAAGAGCGCTCGGGACAAAATGGTCAGATGTCTACTTTCGAGACCGGTTATAACGGAGTCAAGGGGAATCGGAAATTATTTCGCTATAGCCACTGTTTCGTTATAATGGACTTCGGTTATAACGAACGCAAAAGCGAATGGGAAATCGTAATCGCTTCACTGTAGCCGCTATTTTGTTATAACTGACATCGGTTAAAACGAAGTGCAAAAGGAATGGGAAATCGTGATGGCTTCGCTATATCCGATATTTCATTATAACCGACTTTGTTATAGTCGGTCTCGAAAGTATTTTATTTTGAACTTTCTTGTTCACGCAAGCCATGGTGAGCGAACGCGACGTCGTCATCCAACGACTTCGCCAGGACGTGTCGCAGCTATCGCTGTGACTATAATATGTATTAAGATATGATTGCTCAATTTTGTTTTTTAAATGGCCGTGACTATACATTAAGTGCATTGATCATATTAATATAAATAAATATGCAGCATGCCTTACAAGACGTTTCTGAAACGCACTGCAGACTGATCGCATGACACATACAACTTTCAATATAACAAAATAGTGTAGTAAAGACCAAGTCAAGCTCTTGATTTTATATATTTTACATACAAATGTCGCAACTTTCTTCAGATATCTACAGAGTTTCACAATAAAAATGTACACGATTTTCTTTACCGCAAAAAATAAACTAGGCATCGCCGAACGCTCATTCTCTGCCCAAAGCTAGCGCTAGAGGTCACAACCAGGTGCCAAAGTTTCAGCCCGATCCGATACCTTATTCAAAAGTTATAAGTGATTTTCTGAAAATTTCAATGGAAAAATGACGGCCGACGGAGTTTTCGGATACATGAGGCTCTATGGCACTAGAAACCGAAAACGGGCAAAAATGGACTCCATTTTCCCATGGAAATTTTTAGGAAATTACATATAACTTTTGAATATGGTGTCCGTTCGGGCTGAAACTTTGGCATGTGGTTGTGACCTCTAGCGCTACCTCTGGGCGGAGATCGAGCGTTTGGCGATGCCCAGTTTATTTTTGCGGTAAAAAGAAGCGTGTCATTTTTTTGACACCCAGTAGTCTACGGATGTAGTTTATAGTACATGTATTTCCACTAATTTGCTAGCTTAAAACGAAGGCGAATGTCAAACCCTTTGTTAAAACCACCGTGTCAATGGCATGGTCTTCAAGCTTGAGGCTGGTTCACGCAATTGAGACTGTTTACGACCGGAGTGGCTTAAAATCGAGTTTAAGCCACTCGTCGATTACTTACTGTCGGCTACGCTGCTGCGCGGTTGGTTTTTAAGTAGTCACAAGAAGTTTAGTGAGGCGGGTACTAAGGCTTGTTTTTAGGGCCCTTTCACCAACTTGCGTTTGACTACGCCCAACAGAGACACGACCGGTTTTTAAGCCTTTCTTTGATGGCTTACGACCGACTCCACAGCAGCGCATCTGGCCGTGAGCCGTCGCAAGAGGTTGAAGAACTGGCGTGGTCACAGTCGGTCGTAGCCGGTCGCAAGTGTGTGAAGGGGCCTTTACACTTGCGACTGCTTCCAACTGTGTGCCTTCAAAACTTCTTACGACGACAGAACCGCATCTATAGGGTCGCCGTGGAACACCTGGCATTTCTGTATATTTATTTTGTTTTTAGCACATTTTTTTTTGGTAGAAACACTTTTCGCAAGGTTATAAACGGCCATTTCTTACAGATAGTTCGTACAGTTGATATCGTAAAACCCACAAAAACCTTCGCTCTAACGAAATGCAGTTCCAGGGTCATTTCATAAGTGGCGCCAGCGTGGCAGTGTGTTCTTCCGTCAAAAGATATAAAAAATAACTAGGACGTAAGCAAACGCAAGTGTGTGAAGGGGACTTAAGCCTCTGCGATCACAAGCAGTTGCAAATGTGTGAACCGGCCTTCACATGTTTATTTTGTCGTTTGTCCAGGCACCGGCGGTCGATGTCCATGTTTGTTCCCGAATCCTCGTCACTTGTGCACAAACTGGTCGGTTGGATGTCCGGAAGACGCCCAGAGTTTGTCGACCCCAAAATGGTGGCACGTGGAGAGGGTCGTGAAGGTACATCTACCCATGAATATACAAATCGACTCGCTGCGTGAAAGGACCGCTAAAGGACCCATGTCGCAGTGTTCTTTTGGCCAAAATTTGTTTCTTTTTATTTATTTTTTTTCTGTCTAGGGATTTATGGTCTTATAAAGCGAAAAAAAAAATTCAAGGTAGACGCTACCTTTTCCTTTTTTGGCCAGGGTCTGGGTATCTTGACTCTAATTCGTCATACAAGGGCCAGAGTTAGCCTTAACTTATGCTAGTTCGACTGTCATCTGGCATTTTGCAGTTCCGCTCCGCACATACACCAGGCATAAATGTAATATATATATATATATATATATATATATATATATATATATATATATATATATATATATATATATATATATATATATGATGCTGAGAGTTTATAGATTGAGTTATCACCCTAAATATACTATCGGAAAAAGTGGTTCAGCGCCTTTTTAAGTGACCAAATTCAACAAAAAAGTCCCCAAATTTGTTTTTTTTTGTTTGTGCAGTGACAAGAATGACGTCGGACGGAGTGGTGGACGTAATTTTTCACGTCGTGACGAAAGACCTTAAAAAATTTGGCTACAACGTCGGACACGCCGACGGGCATGAACCACGGACCCTTGAAGTTGAACCGCCGTTCTGAGCGAAGGAAACAATAAAAAAAATCTCAACTATGTGTCTCCGGAAGCATAACTTATTAAAAGCTTATATATATATATATATATATATATATATATGCTTTAATATAGGTATATTGGAGCATAAGCGTATCTAAAGCACTAAAAAGAGCCGGAAAAATCCGCGCCTGCACATTGAAAGCTTAAACATTCGACTAATGAGCTCTGAGCAGCTCAGTTTTTACGTGTAAACGTTCAAGGCATAGTTCTCATACTGTAAAGAAAGGACAGTAATAAACTTGCTGAATTCAACGTCGCGGGCGTTCGCAGACGATCGAGGTAGCGACGCAATGCAGGGCGCAAGTTCGTCTGCTTTTTCTGTAGGGCATTGAGCTGACGTCAGAATGGCGAGCTCTGATTGGCTCTGATTGAAGGATAGTTGGCAGACTTGAAAGCAAGTTTCCTTGAGGTCTACCCACTATCCTTCAATCAGAGCCAATCACAGCTCGACGTTCTGACGTCATCACAACCGACATACAAGAAGCAGACAGACTTGCGTTCCGAATTAACTTGTGGTGCCATCTCTCGATATTCGCAGCAAGTAGACGATGAACTCAAAATCAACAAAACATGATTTTATTAAGGCTTTCTTTTTTATAGGGAAAGCTTAAAGTACAAAGACGAAAAAAAAGCTAAATTTACGTAGAAAAAAATAATACAGAAAACAAGAGTGAGTTAAGCATGCAACCGGCGACGGTAGAATGTTGCACTCTGACCGACTTCCGCTGAAACCAATAATCTGTTGATGAGAGAAAAAAAATATTTTTTCCGCTGCGAATGTCTTTACGCACCATATATAACGAGAATATTAATTTAAAAAAAAGCGCGTTATTTCGGAGTTTTCTCCGAATAAAATTATAATAATAAATAATGATAATAAAACATTGTTATTCGTTCGTATTTGAGACAAAAAGTTCATGATTAAATATAAAGCGCACAAAAAAAAAAACAGGGCACGTAAGAGAGACAAGCGCTTACCTGTCCTCATTTGTGTACCGGTTTTTTGTGTGCTTTGTATTCCATTACGAACCACAAACAACGAGCCGAGCTTTCAACCCTATCACAAAATATAAGATCCTTTTATTTTCGGTAGTGAGATGACATTGCTGTTTTGCATATTTTTGAGCAATGAAAATCCGAGGTGAGAGGTGAGCATGATCCTTAAATTAAATAAACAAATTGGTAGAAATTGATTCATCAGTCTTTTCTTGTGCTAATCTCGTCACTCTAATTCAACGTTACACCTTAGTGTTACACCGTTCAACGTTCCCCACCTCTCCGTCATTTTTTTGCTTTATTAAATAAAATTGCATATTAAAGATAAGTGAGTTCATTCTCCAGCAAAGTGCGAATCATGACAACCGTTCTTATTTTTTCAAGCGTGAATAACACCTAAAATGTATAAAAGGGTCTATCAATCCGCACCTATAATTAAGGATTTCAAGACTATGAAAACAAAGAACTCCCAGTAACGCTAAGCATTTTGGCTTACATTTTTTTGTGTGTGTGTTTTTATGGTTTTGCGGTTTTGGATAACTCCAATAAAAAAATAAACACTAACCGGTAAAATCATCCCAGATTCGGATTTAATTGAAAATGTCAGCATTCGATCGAGGACTATCGGTTGTTAAAAAGCCCACTGGTATTTATATTTTTTCCGGCGTCATAAGACAACCTTTCGCGATTATCAGTCTTTTTTCCCTTTAGTTCGCAAGAGTCAAACACACACGTATTTTTGGACCCTTACTACAATGAGAGAGTGACCTCCCCACGGCAATAGATTCTTTTCAAAAGTCAATCAAGCAACAATGGTGGTCGCCATTCCTCGGTTCGAAGCGCGTGATTGGATCCGATTCCTCACCGAACGCTGACGTCACACTTGTTTTCAATACGAGCTGAGCCGAGTTCACGCCGAACGATGACGTCACACTTGCTTTCAATACGAGCTGAGCCGAGTTCACGCCGAACGATGACGTCACGCTTGTTTTCAATACGATCTGAGCCGAGTTCACGCCGAAGGATGACGTCACACTTGTTTTAAATACGAGCTGAGCCGAGTTCACACCAAACGATGACGCAGCCCTCGTGTCGAATACATGGTCCGAGTATGTGACCAAGCCATGGCGGACAATCTTTGGCTCGGACTTTTGAAAAGGGTCTATAAATACAAACGCGTCGGACGTTTCGGGCTGTTCAACGTCGGGCCTTCCTCCTGGTCAAGGCTCAGCTCTTATCTTTTGTCTATGAACATTCGGCATCTTTAAATCTGCTTCTTTCTGCCCCCTACCTAAACCAGTGACATCAAACATAAAAAAATAAATAAAAACGTCGATGTTTTTGTGAACCAAAAACGAAAGCTAGAAAACTAGAGAATCTAAGAATTTGTGGCGCACAATAAATGAGGAAAAAAAGGCACCCTCCCATTTCTCTCGAAAATGGACTCCAGAAACACTGAAGATTACGAGTCATATTCAAACGTCCTCAGCGCAGGTGCTCTTCTAAAACTGTTACCCTGCGTCATGAAAACAACTGCGATTAACTGAACCGTGTGACGCAGCGACCGGATACACCTGCAGTCGCGAGCAACGAGCAAATTATGCGCCTGCTTGCGCGTGTACTAGCTACAGCTGCGTACTCGGACCAGTAGGACGGCAAAGTGTGCGTTTTTTCCATGCAAGAGCAACGACAAAAGCCACGTCTCAGAGTGTCGGAACGCATATTCTTGGCGCTTAAACTCATTGTTATTTACAGTTACTCGAAGATTGGCCTTAAATCGCCGGAAGCGCGCTTCCGTTCTCCAAAAAACGTTGAAGCAGACCGCGACACTTGAACGCAATATCTCTTGAGTTTTCTACCATTTTATCTGAAGTACAAAAAACAGCCATATTTTCGAATCGAACAAGGATCGCCAATGGCGACCGCTTTGCAGTCAGCTGAAAAGCGGCGGTGCCCATGAAGTCAAGTGAATTATGGAGAGCCGATTCTCTAAGCTTAGTCTTTTTAGTGGTTCTAGTCTACATTTTGTCCGCCTTTTCACGACTATTTTTTAACTACTGCATAACTAGCATCCGGACGATAGTGTTTAGAATGGATCAGTTGTGTGGGTGACGTGGCTTTTTACAAAAACTGAAATTACGATGCGAGTGATCTTGAAGACAGATTTCTATGTGTTTCTAGGCGTCTTCACTCTCAGAGGTTGGGGGTGTGGTACCTGCACCGCTGGTCCGATATGCAACACCCCAAAATGATACTTTGACGTTGAGTCCACTAAAGTCGAATTGACGATACCAGCTTTTACGAGCAGCTTGATAGCTGTGCGATATAACTTAGTAAATACCTAATGCAGGTATCAGACTAAAAAACAAAAAGAAAACACTGAGTTTCTGCAGCAGGGTATACCTCGAGGTTTCTCCTGTAGTCTTTAAAGGGGCACTAAGAATATTCTGCGATTGTTTGTAGTTTTTGGGCTTATATTTAAGGGACAAGGTGTGTAACTAGTACACCCCCCATTTCTGGGAATGGGATAAAAATACCCTCAGGTGAAAAGAATGAACATAGCAAATTATTGGCACGGTCGAGGCTCATCCTATTTTGAACTCACTATTCCTAGCGGTGGCATTTCATACAGATTTTCAAGTGCATTCAGAATTTGTTTTTCGTCGGATTGCAGAACGAAAAGTAACTGATAGACATTCGGGGACAACTTCCTGCGGGATTTCCAGAGAGGAAGAGCGCGCTCGTACTGCTTTACTCTGCGTTTAATGCGCGCTAGCGCCGCGAACCTGTACCTTTGAGCGCGTAATACAGAACGTTGTAGCCGAGTGAATAGTTGATCGTAGATTCACTAGATAGGAGAAATGTACGAATATCAAAGGGTTTCGAATAAAAGTTGAATCGTGAATGACCGAATAATTAAATTCGGCTTCTTCATACTTAGGATTCGAGGTTTGGAATATTTGAGTGAATCAAATATCAGTTGCTGGCGAAAATTCAGGTTTATTCACGCTGTTGGTCGGAATAAAATAGTCTTCAGAGGCCCTTGTGAGACTCAAATCAAGCGGCCGGCATAACAAACTATCGGCTAAGAAACTATTTCAGCAGAATATACTATTTTTTTTTTTATGGTTATGACGAATACATCCAGCAAGCGTGGTTGTCAAAGAACAGCAGTCTTAGATATAAAAACTGGAGGATGGAATTCACTAGTGACTCTTGAGTGAACTTGAGACCTCGGCCATTTTCTAAGAAGTTAGATCGAATGATGATGAATATTTGCGTCTCATTCTCACCTAGGCGATGTTGAAAGAGAACGCAGTAATCATCAACATATCGAAATATATGAGATACTTGGCTGTTGGTTAGCGTATTGGCAATCGCCCGATCATATTGGGACAAGCAAATATCTCATAATACAGGTGCCACACAGGAGCCTATACAGACACCTTTCTTTTGTAAGAAAGATTTACCGGCAAAAGCAACTGCTGTTACAGAAAGGTAGAACTTTCATTTTTTCACTTCCACCTTGTCTTTCTCTACATGCTTTATTAAACTGACAGTTGTAAGTAAGCGCTCTGTCCTTCCCCCTTGTTCTCTTAGTCATTTGCACTTGTTCAGTCACAGTCTAGATGTTCAACCAACTGACAACCCAAATGATCTTGCTGCAGTTATTTGATAACTCATCACGTAAGGTTACATGGTTACTTGGTATGGGGTCCCCGAAATCTGTCGAGCGGCACACGAACACGGACACCGTCATGGGGACATGGAGGACGCCGAACGCATCGTGCGCGTCAACCTACTCGGCGAGCGCGACCTCGAACGGGCCACCACGCTCGTCCAGCGGCGCCGACCGGACCTACTACATCAGTTCGCCCAGCAGCGCCATCCACCCCCTAAAGCCCGCAACGATGGCACCCTCATCGACATACCGGACGAAGTTTGAGGGGGGGGGGGGGGGGGGGGATGG